AAAAAATGTAAAGCATTTCCTAATTTTAATTTTATCGCAGATTTGGTAAAGTACTAAAGAATTTCAATGTGACCCTCATCTATGGAATCTTTGGGCTCAGACAGGCGTCTGATCCGCGGACGCGGACCTCATGGACGACGTCTTAGTATTTGTTGGTTTCCGGACAGGCAGGCATGGTAGGGTCAGTTGTGCGGAAGCAAGCTACCCTTCTTCCCCCGAACGTAACGCATATGTGTTGTATTCGAGTTTCTGCATTTGAAAAAAAAATCGAATAGAACACATATGCGTTATATTCCAAAAATCGGGGCTATTCGAATAGAACGCATACGTGTTGTATTCGAATAGAACGCAACCTATGTCTTGTATTCGTTTACAACGCATATGCGTTATTTTCGAGAAGTGTTATTCTAGGCCCTTGACGTTAGAGAGCATTGGCGAGGACTCAGGGTCCCGCGACGTTTTAGGATGTAAGTTGCAGGTGCAGCAGAGATAGCCGTATTTGGGGTGCTTCCAGAGGACTTGGAACCAGGAGACGATGTGGGCCTTGGATCAGATCACTTTTCGAACAGGTCAGGGTTTCGAGTCCTGAACTTGTCGGGAACAGAAATTAGCATCGACAATGGGATGGTTGAACCGCATCGACCGGAACAGTATTGTCCGGTCCGGGACTCGAGGCCAGGCACTTACTCTGCGGAAGGAATTCCGTGTGAAGAGGTTCTCTTGACCGGTTCTTTGCAATTTCGCAAACGCTCTTTCGAATTTCGTGAACGCTCTTTCGGATTTCGCAAACGCTCTTTCGAATTTCGCTAGGAACGGCGACGCAATTTGGGCGTTGAAAGCGGCCCTGCTTTCCAAAGGATTGCAGTGGAGTCGTGTGTAATGTAGTATGTAGCTATTTATAGATTTTTTCTGTTGACGCTTGTCCTCTTTGGATGGCATGGCATCGGGTACGGCCCGGATGGGAGTGTGGTTCACGGACGCAATGAGTTTGTTCGATCGCAGACTTGGTCTTGGATTGTGCATGTGCGTCATCATCTTGTATTGTGTTTATTTACCCATGTGACCCTGGGGCAAAAGTTGTTTAGTTTATTTTTCTGTGTAACATAGTCTTTTTTTTCGGATGCTTTGGATTTCTTCTTTTTTTTCCTTTTTTTTTCCCGCTAGCACCTTCCCTGGTCCTGGCACGGCCTTTTCCTTCTTTTTTTCTTTCCGCTAGTACCTTCCCTGGTCCTTGCACGGCCATGCTGCCCGGGCAAACCAGGGGTCCCCGGCAGCCCGGCTGGTAGCCCGGCCTGAAATAATAAGAGCTTTATGTTTTGCCAACTGTAGGATCGGGCAGACCCTTCAAAAAGCCAAAAGGGGAAGGGAAGGGGCAGAGAAGGGGAAGAGAAGGGGAGGGG